GCACAGCCACCAAGGAGCCAAGGCTGCACCTCTGGAAAATGGGGCTCCCTGACCCCCTTCAGGAACCAAAAAATAGTTGAAGGCTGCCTTGCTTGGCAGGTTGGCACAGGAGGTCAGCTCAGCATGCGGCAAGAATGTGGAAGAAGATGGCTTGGCAAAGGCAGGACAGACTGGCTAAGTAGCTCTCACTAGCTCCCTGGAGCATCTTGAGGCACAGCAAAGCACAGCCACCACAGGAGCCAAGGCTGCACCTCTGGAAAATGGGGCTCCCTGACCCCCTTCAGGAACCAAAAAATAGTTGAAGGCTGCCTTGCTTGGCAGGTTGGCACAGGCAAAGGCAGGACAGACTGGCTAAGTAGCTCTAACTCAGCAAAGCACAGCCACCACAGGAGCCAAGGCTGCACCTCTGGAACCCTTCAGGAACCAAAAAATAGTTGAAGGCTGCCTTGCTTGGCAGGTTGGCACAGGAGGTCAGCTCAGCATGCGGCAAGAAGGACAGACAGGCTAAGTAGCTCTCGCTAGCTCCCTGGAGCATCTTGGGTACAGCAAAGCACAGCCACCAAGGAGCCAAGGCTGCACCTCTGGAAAATGGGGCTCCCTGACCCCCTTCAGGAACCAAAAAATAGTTGAAGGCTGCCTTGCTTGGCAGGTTGGCACAGGAGGTCAGCTCAGCATGCGGCAAGAATGTGGAAGAAGATGGCTTGGCAAAGGCAGGACAGACTGGCTAAGTAGCTCTCACTAGCTCCCTGGAGCATCTTGAGGCACAGCAAAGCACAGCCACCACAGGAGCCAAGGCTGCACCTCTGGAAAATGGGGCTCCCTGACCCCCTTCAGGAACCAAAAAATAGTTGAAGGCTGCCTTGCTTGGCAGGTTGGCACAGGCAAAGGCAGGACAGACTGGCTAAGTAGCTCTAACTCAGCAAAGCACAGCCACCACAGGAGCCAAGGCTGCACCTCTGGAAAATGGGGCTCCCTGACCCCCTTCAGGAACCAAAAAATAGTTGAAGGCTGCCTTGCTTGGCAGGTTGGCACAGGAGGTCAGCTCAGCATGCGGCAAGAAGGACAGACAGCTAAGTAGCTCTCGCTAGCTCCCTGGAGCATCTTGGGTACAGCAAAGCACAGCCACCAAGGAGCCAAGGCTGCCCCTCTGGAAAATGGGGCTCCCTGACCCCCTTCCGGAACCAAAAAATAGTTTGAAGGCTGCCCTTGCTTGGCAGGTTGGCCGGAGGTCAGCTCAGCATGCGGCAAGAATGTGGAAGAAGATGGCTTGGCAAAGGCAGGACAGACTGGCTAAGTAGCTCTAACTAGCTCCCTGGAGCATCTTGGGGCACAGCAAAGCACAGCCACCACAGGAGCCAAGGCTGCACCTCTAGAAAATGGGGCTCCCTGACCCCCTTCAGGAACCAAAAAGTAGTTGAAGGCTGCCTTGCTTGGCAGGTTGGCACAGGAGGTCAGCTCAGGATGCGGCAAGAATGTGGAAGAAGATGGCTTGGCAAAGGCAGGACAGACTGGCTAAGTAGCTCTAACTAGCTCCCTGGAGCATCTTGGGGCACAGCAAAGCACAGCCACCACAGGAGACAAGGATGCACCTCTAGAAAATGGGGCTCCCTGACCCCCTTCAGGAACCAAAAAATAGTTGAAGGCTGCCTTGCTTGGCAGGTTGGCACAGGAGGTCAGCTCAGCATGCGGCAAGAAGGACAGACAGGCTAAGTAGCTCTCGCTAGCTCCCTGGAGCATCTTGGGTACAGCAAAGCACAGCCACCAAGGAGCCAAGGCTGCACCTCTGGAAAATGGGGCTCCCTGACCCCCTTCAGGAACCAAAAAATAGTTGAAGGCTGCCTTGCTTGGCAGGTTGGCACAGGAGGTCAGCGCAGCATGCGGCAAGAATGTGGAAGAAGATGGCTTGGCAAAGGCAGGACAGACTGGCTAAGTAGCTCTCACTAGCTCCCTGGAGCATCTTGAGGCACAGCAAAGCACAGCCACCACAGGAGCCAAGGCTGCACCTCTGGAAAATGGGGCTCCCTGACCCCCTTCAGGAACCAAAAAATAGTTGAAGGCTGCCTTGCTTGGCAGGTTGGCACAGGCAAAGGCAGGACAGACAGGCTAAGTAGCTCTATCGCAGCAAAGCACAGCCACCACAGGAGCCAAGGCTGCACCTCTGGAAAATGGGGCTCCCTGACCCCCTTCAGGAACCAAAAAATAGTTGAAGGCTGCCTTGCTTGGCAGGTTGGCACAGGAGGTCAGCTCAGCATCCGGCAAGAATGTGGAAGAAGATGGCTTGGCAAAGGCAGGACAGACTGGCTAAGTAGCTCTAACTAGCTCCCTGGAGCATCTTGGGTACAGCAAAGCACAGCCACCAAGGAGCCAAGGCTGCACCTCTGGAAAATGGGGCTCCCTGACCCCCTTCAGGAACCAAAAAATAGTTGAAGGCTGCCTTGCTTGGCAGGTTGGCACAGGAGGTCAGCTCAGCATGCGGCAAGAATGTGGAAGAAGATGGCTTGGCAGATGGCTAAGTAGCTCTCACTAGCTCCCTGGAGCATCTTGAGGCACAGCAAAGCACAGCCACCACAGGAGCCAAGGCTGCACCTCTGGAAAATGGGGCTCCCTGACCCCCTTCAGGAACAAAAAATAGTTGAAGGCTGCTTGCTTGGCAGGTTGGCACAGGAGGTCAGCTCAGCATGCGGCAAGAATGTGGAAGAAGATGGCTTAGCAAAGACAGGACAGACTGGCTAAGTAGCTCTAACTAGCTCCCTGGAGCATCTTGGGCACAGGGCTCCCTGACCCCCTTCAGGAACCAAAAAATAGTTGAAGGCTGCCTTGCTTGGCAGGTTGGCACAGGAGGTCAGCTCAGCATCCGGCAAGAATGTGGAAGAAGATGGCTTGGCAAAGGCAGGACAGACTGGCTAAGTAGCTCTAACTAGCTCCCTGGAGCATCTTGGGGCACAGCAAAGCACAGCCACCACACTCTAGAAAATGAGGCTCCCTGACCCCCTTCAGGAACCAAAAAATAGTTGAAGGCTGCCTTGCTCGGCAGGTTAGCACAGGAGGTCAGCTCAGCATGCGGCAAGAATGTGGAAGAAGATGGCTTGGCAATGGCTAAGTAGCTCTAACTAGCTCCCTGGAGCATCTTGGGGCGCAGCAAAGCACAGCCACCACAGGAGCCAAGGCTGCACCTCTGGAAAATGGGGCTCCCTGACCCCCTTCAGGAACAAAAAATAGTTGAAGGCTGCTTTGCTTGGCAGGTTGGCACAGGAGGTCAGCGCAGCATGCGGCAAGAATGTGGAAGAAGATGGCTTAGCAAAGACAGGACAAACTGGCTAAGTAGCTCTAACTAGCTCCCTGGAGCATCTTGTGGCACAGTAAAGCACAGCCACCACAGGAGCCACTGCTGCACCTCTAGAAAATGGGGCTCCCTGACCCTCTTCAGGAACCAAAAAATAGTTGAAGGCTGCCTTGCTTGGCAGGTTGCACAGGAGGTCAGCTCAGGATTGGGCAGGAATGTGGAAGAAGATGGCTGGCACATTGCCACATACAGGCAGCCTTTTTCAATCACGAGGTTTAAGGGGAGTGGCTGAAGAGAGGCACTAGCGTCTAGATTAGATCAGCTAGGCAGCTAGAGCGTCTTCCATGACAGCTGCACGCCTTTTACTTACCGCCAATGGCCGGTCGGTGTGGTGTCTACAGGAGTACTCTATATCTCTCTTGAGGCTTGACAGCGTATGTGAAGTGTGCTCAATACTCATGCTATATCCACATAGGATCCAGCCCAAAACAAAAACAGTGGCTAAGTACTGTAGCTCCTTGGAATCTCGGTAGCACTCCCTTTTCTTGACCTCACTGACAAACTCGGGTTCGAAAGTTTTAATTTTGTCGCTTGAAGTTAGGTCCATCAACCATCCATTCCCATCAACCATCCATTCGTTCTCACGGATTTTGCAAATCATGCCTCACATTTGTTCAGGTCACCTATCTCTCCATATGTTTTGATGATCTGTGCATTTCGATCATAACTTTAATAAGTGTGTTCTGTTTTTTGAAAACATTCAGCGGATAACTCACCAAAGACTATTTGTCTCAACACATCATAAAGACCAGTGGGGCATGGCAGAAAGATATGTTAAATCTCTTCAAATTTGGAAATGACGCGCATCCAATGCAACAGATGTTTTGCATTCATTTTTTCAAGCGGCTTGGCCCCCAAAAAAATATTTTCTGGTCATATGGAAGGGGGGGTCAAGGCAAGGCATTTTATAGTTTACAGCCTTTCAGCTGCCCATTTCTGGTCCGCCCACTGGTCAAGGCGTGTCAGTTTATAGCCAGTTACAATTTTCCTATGAGTTTTCAAAACCTATCCACCTACCCCCTCAGTGACCCCAATTCCTGGCTAGAAAATCACCTGCAAGACCCCCCCCCCCGAAAAGGAACCAAGATTTTAGAAGTGTTTCAATGGGCATGGAGAAACCATGCACTTTTGGGAAAGAATCCAAGCGAGGTTCTCGAGCAACTGTCTCGACTTTTTGCAGATTAAAGGTGGATGAAAATAAAAGTCATGCACTGAAGTAAATACACCTGAAAGTGTCTCAAGTGAAGTAGTTTTTTTCGACGTCAAAATATGACACGCCAAGATATGAACATGGACATGTGAAGTTGTACATGCATTTCGAATGGCCAGCGTGGAGGATTTGCCATATCACCATTCATACATTTGTGTCAAAACTGAGATGAAAGTGCACGAAACCATACGGCCATCTATGAGCGCCCGACCACAGTAGTTTGAGTCTCATACTGCATGTAATTTGATGGTAATGGTATTGGTAAATTGAATTTTGTAATGGTAATTATCATTGTGGCAATATATATATACACAATGTAGGTATGTACATATATACACATTATCATTTATCTACCTATATGTACATATACAATCATATTATACATATATATATATATACATTGCCATAAGTTATTTTTGATGGCAATCTGCCCCATCCCAGACGCAGGTAGATCTTGGGGTGCCCCTTGACTTTGTGATGGGCGACTGGTGGATCTGGCTTTTCTTGGGTCTTCAGTCGGCCTTCTACACTTATGCCTTGGCAGAGCTGCTGGGATAGCTGAAAGAATAGCTGGGATTTACCCTCTGGTAAACATACAAAAACTATTGAAAGTCCACATTTTTGATGCGTAAATCAACTATAAATGGCCATTTTCAATAGCTATGTTAGTTTACCAAAGGGTATGGATGTTGATTTCCCCCCAATCATGTGGTAATTTCATAGCTTTTTGACCCATCCCCATATATAAATATATACATTTAAATCTCCAGTTTTATTGGACACCGGAGGCCGGGTGGTTACGACGATGTGTTTACCCGTGTTGGCCCACCCCCATCAAAGATATGGTTTCAGCCAGGGTTCAACGGCCCAAGGTTGCCCAAAGTCCTTGGCTATTCTGTCTCTTGCATCCTCGTTATCACAGGCGGGAGCTAAGGAGGTGGCGACCTGATATCAAGTTTTTGGATCCAGACATGGTTGGTGATTGCTGTTGCGGGGAAAAAAGAAACGTGTTTGTGACCTGAGCTATCTTGAGATCATGTTTTTTCTCTGTTTAGATCTGACTTTGGTGGTGGATTATCCTCCCCTTTAAAGTATATGTATATATTATATATGTTGTGGCTACAAGTCCAACCCAGATTGACCACTGGATTTCGAATGATGTCCCTCTCAGTCCGCAGCATCTCAGAGGCAAGATGTGCACAGCTGCTTTTGCAGACACCATTGGACTTTTTGCGAAGCCGCTGGCTATTTCGCCCTGGAGATATATCAGCGTAGCCAGCAGCCTCAATTCCCGCCAAGTTGCAAGTTGCAGGGTCTGTCCATGGGGTGAGATTGTTTGGCAGGTGTTTCCATGTTTAAACATGTGTGTGTTCTTCCGCAGTGATTGACCACATTAAGCCAGTTACCAGGTGTTAAAAGTCAGGTGTTTGGAGATATTCATAGTAACTATAACCAAACATACCCTCTGGTAAACATTGGTAAACTACCAGTAGTACCGCACAAGGCGGTGCCGGAAGTTTCAAAAATAGGAAACCTATAGGAGAGGTTGGTTGTTGTGAATCACGGATGGCAGAGCGAATCCACTGATGGACTGACAGGTGGTTGGAGTTGTGTTTCTTGGAGTGGTTGCAACGGTTGCAGTGGTCACCTTACCATAACTGCTGGATTTAGTGTGGTGTAGTGCAGTTGTAGTTGTAGTTGCAGTTGTAGCTGCAGTTGTTGTGTAGTGTAGTGGAGCTGTACAGTAGCTGTAATGTAGTGTAATTTGTGTATTTGCAAGTGCAGTTGCAGTTGTAGCCGTGTTGTGGTGTAATTAGTGTAGTGTAATGCAGCGTAATGTCGTGCAGTGTTGTGTCGTGTGGTATAGTGTAGTGTGGTCTAGTGTAAGGTAGTGTAGTTGTAGTTGTAGTGTAGTGCAGTGTAATTAGTGTAGTGTAGTTGGCACACGCCGCATAGACGGCCGTGTGCCTTTCACCATTTGTTGCACACGTTGTTGATGTTCCGCAACTGCCAGGATGTGGGGCAGGGGCTGGGGTGGGGTGGGGCATGTTAACGTTCCTTGTACGTTGCACGCGTTGTTGATGTTCCGCACCTGCCAGGATGTGGGGCAAGGGCTGGGGTGGGGTGGGGCATGTGTTGCAAAGAAGTTCGAAGTGGAAGCTGTGTGTCACCAACGCAAACAATTTACCCGCAAGACTGCTCAAAAAGCTTCCACTCGTCCTTGTCTGGCAGGCACTCAAATGATAGACAGGGCATGGCGTTCCTTAAAGTTTGAATGGCTCCCTGCTCATATCAATGCCACACAGAAGAAGGACGGTCACAGTGTTCTTTCTCCAATAGTTTCGGAACTCGTGTTTCAATGGGCTTGGCGACAGCACCAAGGACCCATGTCACCAACTCAGTCCTTCACTGCACTGCAACGTCTCCTGAAACATTTAAAAAAATGGGACGAAACGAGGATACGCAGATGTTCCTTGCAAGAAGTGCTGATGAACAAACGTCAGTGCGAGTTGCAAAAAGTGACCGAAATGCCACGGCCGTCTGTGCGGCGTGTACCTAGTTATAGTTGTAGTGTAGCGCAGTGTAATTAGTGCAGTGTAGTGTAATGTAATGTAGTATCTGTAGTGTAGTATAGTGTAGTGTAGCGTAGCGTAGTGTAGTGCAGTGCAGTGCAGTGTAGTGTAGTATGTGCAGTGTGGTGTAGCGTAATGTAGTGGCAGCTGTAGTTGCGGTTGCAGTTGCAGCTGCAGTTGTAGTTGAAGTGTAATGCAATGTAATCAGTGCAGTGTAGTGTTGTGTAATGTAGTGTGGTTGTAGTTGTAGTTGTGTTTGTAGTGGTAATGTGCTGCAGTGTAATTAGCGTAGTGTAGTGTAGTTGCAATTGTAGTTGTAGTTGTGGTAGTAGCGGTTGTTGTAGTTGTTAGTCTAATTGGTGTAGTGTAGTGTAATTAGATATAATTAGCATAGTGTAGTGGAATTAGTGTAGTGCAATGTAGCGTGGTATATTTGCATTTGTAGTTGTAGCAGTAGTGTAGTGTAGTGTAGTGTAGTGTAGTGTAGTGTAGTGTAGTGTAGTGTAGTGTAGTGTTGGTTGTAGTTGTTGTAGTTGTTGTAGTTGTTACTGTTCATCCATCTATCTATCTATCTGTCTATCTATCTTTCTGTCTATCTATCTATCTATCTGTTTGTCTATCTATCTTTCTATCTGTCTATCTATCTATCTATCTGTTTGTCTATCTATCTATCTATCTATCTACCTATCTACCTATCTATCTATCTATCTACCTATCTATCTATCTATCTACCTACCTATCTATCTGTTTGTCAGTCTATCTAATCGAATCGAATCGAATCTAATCTAATTTAATCTAATCTATCTATCTCTCTCTCTCTCTCTGTCTGTCATGTCTGTCTTTCTATCTGCCTATTTGCAAGCTTGAAAACGAAGCAATTCGGGGAGACTTCCTCAGTTTTTGAACTTGACAACATCAAAAACGCAGCAATTCAGCGTGACTTCCTCAATTTTTGCATTTGACAACATCAAAAACAAAACAATTCTGCGAGACTTCCTCATTTTTCGAAGTTGAGAACATCAAAAACGAAACAATTCTGCGAGACCTCCTTCAAAAATGGAAAGTTGAGTGCAGAGCTGACGGCCTCGTACCATTGCGTTTTGCGATTTTTCGACTCCACCTGTCTAAACTACTGCGCCTGCCACGAAAAAGTGATACCGGGTCATACGAAGTGCTGCACCTGTCACGCAAAATCATCTCAGCAAACCTGAAGATCTGATGCTCCAAAATGCAACCCTTCTCAGGAAATCAGCGCCCGGACCTCCTAACATCTCTGATGAACATGTCTTTTGTATTGCGCCTGCCACGGAAAATGCATCTTTGCAGATCCCCTTCAACGCCTGCCATCGTTTTTGGAAATGCTACAAAACCCTCGCGCTTTGCTCACTATTGACAAGGTGCACAATCCCCTGCGCCTGCCATGCGAAACGACACCTGAACGTCCAAAAGTGGTCCGAGCATGTGGCGCTTTTAACCTTTTGACTTCGAAATGTCCTTCGCGCCACGACGGTGTACTTTTTCGACATCTCAACTTCCAAAAGTGCTCTGAACCCGTCACTTGTTTACACTTTTGACTTCGAAAAGTGCTTCGCGGCACAACGGCGTGCACTTTTTTCGACATCTCAACTTCAGTGGTCCGAACATGTGTTTTTTTAACATTTTGACTTCGAAATGTGCTTCGCGCCACAACGGCGTGCACTTTTTCGACATCTCAACTTCAGTGGTCCGAACGTGTGTTTTTTTAACATGTTGACTCCGAAATGTGCTTCGCGCCACAACGTGGTGCAATTTTTCATCTCTCATCTGCCCAGCGGGCTCCGCACCCGCCGCTTTAGCGAGCCTACTTTTTGACCCTCCGGAGCCACAAATCAGTGGAGAAACACAGTGCTTCGCGACTTTCCTACCCTTTCGCGCACCTGGATCTTCTTTCTTCTGTGACTTTCTCTTTCTTCTTCTTCTTTTCCGTGACTCTTCCCATCTCTGCGACTCTTCCCATCTCTGCTTTTCATCTGTCCATCTTGTCGAGTTTGACTTCTAAACTTCCTTCGATAATCGTGTTTGTCTACTCCAACCAACCTATGCCAAAACAAACCAGTCTCGTCTGCAAAACATCCCATTCTATATCCGGAAGATTCACTCCAAACATCAGCCATAACGTAAGTATTTCAATGTATGTCATGCTATTTCCATGTTTCATACGCCATCCGCATTTTTATGGATGGATCAAAACCTATGAAATCCGATATTTGGGGTGCGCATTCATCATGGGTGCGCATTCATCATTTCAGCCTTTTTTTTGTGTTTTTCCATTGGGATTCCATGGATCCATGAAGCAATTCCGGTGGAACTGGCTGAGGCCATAATTTTGCTGGGCGCTGTCTCTCGGTCAACATATTCCATGGTTGATGGTGGCCTGAGAAACCAACGAAATCTCAGTGCAACAGACACAAACTGTATGGGCATATATAATGGATTATAAGTAAAATGGGATATCACTAACCAACCGCATTATGATATTTGATAATATTTGATATTTGAATTTGTCCAAAAAATGGGAGATATTTTTCCACCATGTTCCCCAATGTTTCGGCGACTCCAGGTGTCCTTGACCTTCAACAAAGCTCGAAGTCCCGGAGAGGTGGAGCGGTGATGGCAGGGGGAGTCAGCAAGGAGCTACAAATTGAGTTTCCCAAGCCACATGAGTTCCCATAATGATAGTAAGTAGATCAATGTAGATTCTGTAGATATATGTAGATCAGCTAATTTGATCTAATTTGTGCCCTTGAGTGTGCAAAATTTGTGTACCTTCTGGTAATCAAACGTGGCAATTGGAGATTGCAATGGGAAAATCGTCTATAGATAGGGGATTTGTCATAGAAATTGCCATGTTTGAGTACCGGATGGTACTCCTGCAGGTTCAGCGCCCCAGAGAGGACCTTTCAACCTCATGTGAAGATTTGCGTGCCACTTTAGCTGACTAGTGACTCCGCCTGAAACATGTAGGGAACTACTGTGGTGACAAAGATCGACATGCTGTACATGTGTGTATTTGTATGTTTTTTTTGGGTGGGGTCAAATTTATAGAAACCCATCGGATTGTTATCTTCGTCGCTGAATCGCTGAATGGCTGATGATCTGAATTTTGATACAGCTGCCGCAGCTATTGGGCGAATCACTAGAGACCATGGGTGCAAGATCCGTGCGTCATGAGCAATGCCCCAAATCCCTGGTGGTTGATGGAGACGGAGGAGGTATCAACCGGGAATTCTCTTTAGTATATGCATTTCTTTTGACCACATGGACTGGATTTTGAGTCCTGCGAGAATTTTGAGACTCGCCCAAGTTGATCCCAAAGCCATCAACGGAGCAAAGGGCACTTTGGTGGAGAGACTGCGCTGCGAACTCCGCTGAAAAGAGAAATCCCTGAGGAAAATGCGTGGATCCAAAAAACTACATGATATTTAATTATATTTACACTTGTATTGTGTTATTATTCTTATTACAATACACAAAAATGCATTTTATTTTACATATAGTTTTATAATTTGCATATCTACATATACATGATTTTGTGTATGTACATATATAATACATATAAAAGTATATATGTGATATCTCCGCAACATGTTTTGGGCATTTTATTTTGCTGGTTGATATTCATATTGCTGATCTACCCATCAATCCACTGGAATAGTTCTTTTGGCTCCTTTTCTTGGACCCTCCTTAAAAAATCCGTGAATGCGCATATCAACGAAGATGAACGTCCTATTGAAAATGACGGAACATGTAAGGGGGGGTCCACGTGTTCTTCGGCCATCTTAGAATGTAGATGAAGATTCCATTTTTTCTCTGAGAGTCAAAGCTAAAATTTGCAGGAAAGATCCACCTTTGGCGATAAAAACACATGGTGTCCTATCTGAAGAGACCGTAGATTACAATGACCCCCCCCCCGCGATGTCACTAGAATGATGGTTAGGGGTAACTATCCCACAATGACTTTACCTCAGGCTGGTGAATTATTAGAATAACCCCTAACCATCTCAATCCGATATTATTATTATCAGGCGTCAACTGTTACTATCTCAATCCTCACCCGAATTATTCATGATTTACCATGATATATCATAGTAGATAATTCCCATGAAGATTCCAATGCGTATCCCATCAATAGCCCTTTGAATCCCCCTTTTGAAGCACCTTGGAACACCTTTGAGGTTGCCTTTCCTGGTGCCCCGCTGCAATTCTCGCCGCCGGAGATCTCAGAACTTGCGGCCTGGGTTTGGCTTCAAACGGTCCCATGGTGGATAGGGGCTTCAAACCAACCATGATGTCTTCAATAATGGTTAAGAATGCTCAATTTAATGCTGTATAATGGTCAAAAATGGTGGATACTGCTGTATTATGATGGTTCATAATGGGTATATGGCTATGGATCAATAGCTATTAAGACCATTTTTAGTGGGATGAACATCCATTTACCAGCTATTTTGGGGTTCACCAGGGGTACAGGGTTTTGACCCATCCCCATATAACCAACAATCATAGAGAATGGATAACTGGAAGACTGCGGTACACCCAATGCCGTAAACCTCCGCCAAGGCCTCCGCCAGAAAAGCTGCCTGGCTCTGACAAGGAAAGCTGCCAGAAATATCCAGAAATGGCATCCTATTTGAAGCATGCTATGCGAAAAAACAATGGTATACCCAATCTTCACCCCTAAACCAGATTCAACCACCGGAGGTGAGTCTGGTGGTTTCTTTTTTTTTGCTAAGGAGAGTGACAAGCATCACACACACATTGTTCACGGAACAATGTGCTAATCATGCAGATGCCTGCTGGAGGAGCTAACAGACGAGGTCACCCATCAGGCACAATGGGCATAGGCTTTGAATATGTTGCAGTACTACTTGCTTCTGCGGTTGCTATTGCTGGTGTTTCAAGGGGCAAGGGAGGAAGTATATTACAAGAATGATTTCAAACGAATCTGCTATGATTGTTGTATCACTTTCAGCGTGACTTGTGCAATTACAGGCTGTACCGTTGCTATTGGTTTGGTGTGCCCAGTCAGCCTCAAAATGATTGAGATGATTGGACCTTGAGATGAAACCATTTTGGGCAGAAAACGATCAGTCAAAGTTGGTCGCAAACCGGTAACCCGTTCCAAACTGCACATGCTTATCATGTTTGTTTTTTCTTCCTGGATTTCAAATTGACGCACCATCTTGGTTTATAAACCCCATCGAGTATGGTTCTATCCTCGAATAAACATCGAAAAACCACAGTGACCCAAGTTATAAGTCAAGTTAGCTATCATAAATCAGCTATAGATCCCAGTAAATCCCCATATCTTTGTTGGTTCTTTTTTTTCTGAAGGTGTCCTTTCTTTTCCGCCAACACTCGTTGCATCCCAGGAGAGCGAAGATGGCTCCGAATCCGGCGAGGAGTGGTCAAGCAGAATGGTGATTATTATGGGATATGAGTGCGGAATTAATGTGCCAACTTTGATTTTTATATGTATATAATGGTAAAATAATATTCATTAATAATATTTAATATAATATATAATATTTTATAATATATTATAATTTGATATAATAGTTTATAATATTTTTTATAATATATTGTAATATTTTAAAATATATTATAATATTTTATTATATATTACAATATTTTATAATATTTAATAATATAATATATACATGAATTAACAACCAACTATTGGATGAAGTTGGATGATATACCAAGTTTTTCGGGGGCTCATCAATGCATTTTGACACTGTAACAATTATGTGCCCAGATAGTGGATTCCCATTATGGGATGCATGACCACACCAAGTATGCAATGGTTTCACCTTTGCCATGATTCCCCACCTGCCAGGTGAGGGTTGTTAGATTTTATCAGAGTTGTTCTCCTCTTCCTCGGCTAGCTGTCCTCCTCCTGGTCCTCCTGGTCCTCCTCTTCCTCGCCTCCTCCTCCTCCTCCGCCTCCTCCTCCTCCTCTAGTTTCTCCTCGACCATGTCTGCATCAACCTCCACCTCCACTTCCGCCTTGCCAACTCTTCGCCAAGCTCTTTGCCAACTCTCTTCGCCAAGCTCTTTGCCAACTTCCCAGCTCAGTGTGCACCGCAGGACCTCAACCTGGGACCTTCCCAGCTCAGTGCGCACTGCTGGACCTCAACCTGGGACCTTCCCAGCTCAGTGTGCACCGCTGGACCTCAACCTGAGACCTTCCCAGCTCAGTGTGCACCGCTGGACCTCAACCTGGGACCTGCCCAGCTCAGTGTGCACCGCTGGACCTCAACCTGGGACCTTCCCAGCTCAGTGTGCACCGCTGGACCTCAACCTGGGACCTGCCCAGCTCAGTGTGCACCGCTGGACTTCAACGGCCAGATAGAATGCCAGGAGATATGCCAGATAGAATGTCAGATAGAATGCCAGAAGATATGCCAGATAAAATGCCATAAGATGTGCTAGATAGAATGCCAGAAGATATACCAGATAGAATGCCAGAAGATATGCCAGATAGAATGCCAGAAGGTATGCCAGGTAGAATGCCAGATAAAATGTCAGAAAGAATGCCAGAAGATATGCCAGATAGAATGCCAGAAGATTTGCCAGATAATATGCCAGAAGTTATGCCAGATAGAATGCCAGATAGAATGCCAAAAGATGTGCCAGAAGATGTGAACATATGCCAGAAGATATGCCAGATAAAATGCCAGATAGAATGCCAGAAGATATGCCAGAAGATTTGCCAGATAATATGCCAGAAGATATGCCAGATAGAATGCCAGATAGAATGCCAAAAGATATGTCAGAAGATATGCCAGAACATATGCCAGAAGATATGCCAGATAGAATGCCCGAAGATATGCCAGAAGATATGCCAGGACATATGCCAGATAGAATGCCAGATAGATATGTCAGATAGAATGCCAGAAGATATGCCAGATAGAATGCCAGAAGATTTGCCAGATAGAATGCCAGAAGATATACCAGAAGATATGCCAGAAGATATGCCAGAACATATGCCAGAAGGTATGCCAGGTAGAATGCCAGATAAAATGTCAGATAGAATGCCAGAAGATTTGCCAGTAAGAAAATCTATAAATGTCATGGTGGGGATCACAGGAAGTAAAGTAATTTAATTAAGCAGCAAATACGAAAGTCATTAAGAGGCAGGATCAGATTTTTGGGACTCTGTTGGATTGTATAATTAGAAGTGAAAAATCTCGCATTTTAAGCAAACAAAATGAGAAGGGAACCCGCAACTATAGCATACATGTGACCATCCAGATGGCTGGTCTGGACGCTGACCCTTTCGCTCCAGAGATTGGAGAATCCATGGTTTCTCCCAAGATTACACTTACTGCAAAGCAAAACCATCAAGCCGTTGTCAACTGAAACAAGATAAACAACAGGGATAAGGATTCATCAAAGGGTACTCAATGAGAATATTTTGTTTTTTTTTCGGGACATATTGACTTAAGCAATCAACCGGGTATACTGAAATCATCTCAAACCCGTAGTTACTACGTGCATGATGAAGCGAGTGAAATACTGTAACTCCAGTACGCAGTACTCCCTTAAGTGGCCTCACATGGCCTCAAAAATAGATGTGACTCTTGATGATGTCATTGTTCTTGTAGGGGGTTTTATTATGGGAACGTCTGACATGCCACCGGTATACCAGGATTCAGATCTATCGATCGAAGCAAACTACGAGAGGCAGCCGGCATCCAAAAGAAGATGGTTCTTTCGACCATGTGTTGAGATTCCTTCGACCATTTTTCCATTTGAGATCAGGATAATGTACCCTCTCGTAAACTAACATAGCTATGGAAAATCACTGGTTTTAAAGGGTAAATCAACTATAAATGGCCATTTTCAATAACTGTGTTAAATTAACAGAGGGTATACGACATTATCATACATTGTATGGTTTGAAACACCTGAATACGCTGCAATATATATATATATATACATCGTTGTTTTGAACGATGATCATCAGTATCCATTGGTTGGGGGTAAAACCATGGTGCATTGCGCAAGCTCTGTAGAAGACACGCTAGGCCGACATTTGGTGTCATACATTGTATATATGTCATTATGATGCATTATGATTCATTATGATTCACAATGTTTCACAATGATTCATTATATCATTATGTCATTATGTCATGATGGCATTATGTCATTATGTCATTATGTCATCACCAGCATCACCATCATCAGCATCACCACCACCACCATCATCATCATCATCATCATCCTCATCGTCCTCATCATCCTCATCGTCCTCATCGTCCTCCATCGTCCTCATCGTCATCATCCTGCTGATCCTCATCATATGCTCAACATATCCGCATCATTCTGGTTGAGGTTTTGTTGCTACTATGCCGATGACTGGTGAATGATGCATTGAGCCACTCGCCAGGCACCGGACAGACTTGGACACACTGATTGCTCAGCATTCCTCGTTGCAGGCTTAGCCATGGAACCCTCAGTAAGAATGGGATACTAATTGTGGGATACTAATTGTGGGATAATAATAGGTTTACCCTCCGGTAATCAAACATGGCTAGCTGGGAAATCCACTGTAAATTGAGGTTTGAATGCGAACAGCCCATCCATAATTGGTGGGCATGTTCCATTGCCATGTTCCATTACCGGAAATCATCATTGTCCCTTTGTCATCCTATGTTTGGATTCTAGGGTATACCCACAACCCCCCAGCAGAGCAGGGAAACCATGAAAAACCTCCCGATGGAATCGAAGTGCCTGGGTTTTCCATCTTTTTCAAGTTGGCAGCATCAGAGCACGTCAACCAACAGCTGAGGTTGTGGGCCACGTAGTGGTCATATCACCCTGCCTCTTTTTTGGCTGAATACAGTATACATAGCTGGTAATGTAGTAAACCCAACCATAAATAAACTATAGATTATATATCCCCAAATCACCGGAAATGTATGTTATATACCCACCAGAATTGAAGGGTGTTCAATGAGATAGTTTAGGCGTGTCAGAAGAAAAGTCTAGTGGTCCTTTTTCTGTGCACCAAGGGTGATTCGAGCCACCACTCGACAAAGATCGCCTGAAGACGCCGAGGACACCGAGATCCTTGTTGGGTTTGACCAACCTTGCTGGTGGAACGGTGAATATGTCATAGCCTGCTCATTCCTATGCTGGGTATCTAAGATGAGACAGGCAAAAATGTCCCACCCTTGAGGCAAAATCATGGTTTGGAATCGTTGACATCTTGTGATATCTTCACACATGTGTTCTTCAATATTCATCCATTCTGAACTAGAACTCAACATAAATCAAGGTTTAAAATGTGTGTCAACCCTTTTTTCAAGTCAAACGTTGGAGACAAAATAATCCGGGATGGTTCGAGAATGTCTATTGACATCATCTTGATCATTTTGACATCATCTATCACCCCATGACTCCCAGCTATCCATAACATCATATCGTCTTTTGGGGGAATGAACACCCATAACTCCCAGCTGTCAGCTGCCCACCATGCCAGGATCTGCCCAAAAGCGCTCACGAGCTTGCGCGGATACAGCGTCGCCAGGCGACACGCTTGAATTCACCTCCAATGCATGGGGATTTATGGTGATTTAATTGGATTGAATGGGATGTAACTAACCAAGAAAACGAGATTCGGTTCTGAAAAGGGCTTTTTTACCCCCAGTTATGCTATGTTCATGGGGAAAATTATGATCATTGAATGGATTTAGGGGTACACAATTTTCAGACGAACCAACATGTAGCAACTTCCAACAAGCTCCAAAAAGATAGAAAAAATATCATGAAACAGCAATAGATTGCTCTTAGTATATTTAGGGTGTCTACTATAATGAACATAAGAGCCCTTAATTTACAGTTAGTACAGTTCATGTAAGTCTGATGTGTTAAAAAAGGGCATCCCCCCATGCTAAAAACAGCAGTGGGTCGTGAAAGTCTGTCCTAGAAAAAGGTGATAAAACCCTCCCGGGGGGCCCGTTGCAGGGCTGATATCGATTCACAACCATCCCCACCCACTGCGCAGGATTCAATGGATTCAAAGGACAAACCGTCAGAAGCCAAGTCACTTGGGCAGTCTGGTGAGGTAACACCTGCGCATTGTAGACACATGTCATCCACAATGTGGCTATGGAATGCACGGATGTCACGTCATTGCAGTACCAAGCGAACATATTTTAACTCGTTCCCATCAGGGGCCACTCCCACTTTGTGGGTTCTCACTTAGTTGCCGCCTATAACCCTCTTTAAGTAGCATTTAGCAGAGAAGTTTCCCAAAAAAATGCGAAACCAAACAATAAGCAAGTTTATAACTTATAACCCCGTTTGCCTATTCTGGTTGGCGGTTCAATTATGTGTTCAACATGTTTGTTATGGCATAGAAATGGGATGGTGATCCCAAATAACTACCCTCCGGTAATCAAATATGGATTAAATATGCATGGAGGTTTCTAGCTGGCAAAATCATCGCACCAAATCTACAGCGTGGTTTTTCTATTGAAAGGTTTGTTTACCAGAGGGTAAGTTATATTATATTTCAACATGATAGTTAATTGATTGATTATTGATATTTATATGTGGTGATTAGTGGTTCCCAATGACTATATCATACTGTACTGTCATATTGCTTTTCAAGGTGGATTCCAAGTTCACTCGGCGAACTGTGCGAGGTCCTTCCTGAATCGAATTGTGCTTTGGTCGCGTTTGTACCTGGGGGAGGGTCCGTGTTGAGGTGTTGGGAGATTCCTGATTTTATAACAATAATTGAAATTTACATGAAGTTACCAAAGTTATTGTCGGTTTATCAATGACATGATGATCGATCATTCGATTTTGGGGCAATTACCTTGTCTTCCGATCAACCCATGGTTTTGGGCCGGTTTGTAGGAGTGAAGTTGTGGTATGCATATATATCTATATACATTCTCTTAAGAATCATTTAGCTTCATGGAGTTTGCCTGGTTTACCTTCTCCTGTCATGCCGTGAAAAAAGATGAAAGATACACCCAGACTGCTGAACCATTGAAAGCATTGTGAGGAGGTTCTTGACATGGTGCTGAGCTGATTGTCACAGTCAGTAGAAGATTGCCAGTGTCATGTGAGCCAAACAATTCGGTCCAAAAAATCCACAGCTGAAACAGTTGAACCCACCGTGTGTGTTTTTTCGCTGGTACTTATTTTGCCTTTGCAGGATGTGTGTGTGTGTATGTAGATATACTGGTTGGTGGTTTGCAACATTTTTTAATTTTTCCATATATTCGGAATAATCATCCCAACTGACTAGTATTTATATGTATTTATCAGAGGGGTTGAAACCACCAACCAGTATATCATAGTTATATCATAGTTATATCATAGTTAAATCAACCATATTTAACCATTATAATATATCATAGTTTGCCTTTGCATCCTTGGGTTCTTGTGGACTGGAACATGTCGCCAGTTTCAATATGGTGGCCGAGTGGAAGAAGGCGCGGGCCGGTGGAGTTTGAAGCAGACAGAACGTATCTGAAATCAATGGGAGATCTCCAGGATCCTAAATTGGAGGTACTGTACCATATAAGGCCATATTTTGTGGGGATATTCCCTTACATAGGCCTTATATAGGCCTTATATATGGTAGGTACCTCCAATTTAGGATCCTGGAATGGCCATTGATGAAAGGATCTCAAAAGAATAAATTTCACCCAGACCCAGACCCCACCAGGCACCGAAAGATCTGATTTTAAGGGGCTTTGGTCAACAACACAACAGTTGGGCATCACAAGAACTTGGGTCGGAGACAGAAACCCAGGAACCAGAGAGAGCATTCTGCATCAGGACTGGTCGGTTGTCGATGGGATCAGCAAGGTCACAGTTGGGTATCCAAACCATTCCAAACCAAACCATGTTTTTCATGACACATGGATGTGGGTCAAAATGGAAGACCTAGGGGACCACAGATGGAAAAGTCTAGTTTAGTATTAACCATCGAATTATTGGGGTACCTAATTTTGACCCATACCCACATTGAATCTATTGAAAACTATAGATACTACAGCCCTGTTTTTCCATGGCAAACTCCGTATTACAAGTTGGTGAAAACCGTCGCGCTGCGGACAATGCTTTACCCTGCAATTTGAACACTTGTAATTGCCCGAATGGTGGTCAAGATTTCCCTACTGGTACCCTGGGGTTTTACCCTGGGGTTTTAGAGTATTCTATATAAATATATATAAATACTTCAATGGGGCTACATCACAGTGGTCAGCAGAAAGGTTGATCAAATTATGCGAAGACCTGCATCTTTGTCTCAGGGTGGCTCTGAGACAGCTCAAAATTCATGAGTCCCGCTTAAAATTCATGGTTGAATAGGTTGAGTACTCCCATCCTAATGTTAAATACCCCCAAAAAATGGGCCCCCACAATGAAGAATATACTAAACCATGATTTCTCGAGAAAAAAAAACATTGATCTTAGCAAAAAAGGGGGAATTCTAGCAGCATCGAACATTTCTTTGGCGGTTCCGAACGTGGTTTTCGCGACGTGACGTCGTCATCGAGTTGACAGGACATTTCTGGCCTGGATGATGTATGGCTTCGTCGATGGAGCCATGTCCTGGAGAAGGATGGCATCACCTGCACAAAGGCAGCGGCCAAAAAAGCTCCGAAGGTGTAGACCACTGGTACACCAATTAAAAGCGATTTAGCTACGAATCTAAAGGTGACCAGGAGTTTGGGATGGTTTCATGGATTTATTGATGTTCCAAGCCCAAAAAAATGAGGTTGATGAGGTTGATGCTCAAATGATGCTCCTAAGAAGGATGGAGTGAACCACCCTCCAACAGCGGATCCCAGGAGCCTTAGATTTTCATAACCAGATTGGGAACAGTAGGCGGTGGCCTCCTGCAATTTTCTGCGCAGATTGCAACCAATGGGAAGCCCTACGAGCGGCGCATTCATGTCGATAGCAGGACTCCTGGGGAGCGAAAGCCAAAGCGATAATCAACGTGTCAATCATGTCAGCTTGAAGAAATGATAAAACAATATAAACATATATAAAACATGAATAGACATGAGATAATCATCTGATCAGAGCCTCAGATCAGACATCCTTTTAGGGAAGGTCAATCGGCCATGTGACGCTCCGGTAGCGGAGCCCTTGCACCTGGAAGGAACATGATGGTGGAAGTACACCAAGGCGCCGGGTTGGTGAGTGGAATGTCCCAGGCTGCCTCTGAGGATCACCCAGCAGATAAGCAGCCAATGAAACCCATAGAATCCATAGATATAGATATCTATTGAGTATCAGTGGCGATGTGAAGATTGGCCAGAGGTCAAATGAATATAAATGAAGCATATATTAGCAGCAGCATAGCCCAACATCAAAGGTGGAGAGTGCAGAAGAACTTTTGCAGTGGCAGATGTGGGCCCATTGGGCCCAGTTCATTCGATTCACCTGGAAAGTTTGGCATGTGTAGTGGCTTCGAAGAAGTTTAATGTGTTGGGATTTCATCGAGGAGATTTCAGCGTGGCAAAGTTTGTCTCCATCCCTAGGCCCTAAGTGGGACTTGAAGAAAAGCATGTGTCAGAAGTGTTCCGGCAGCTTCAACTAGGATTTTTTTGAGACGTATTTGGTTTCAAGATGTTTCAAGTTGTTTCAAGTTTCTTTTTTCTTTCCAGAAATGGTGGTTTCCATCAATGGCGGATCCCCATTAGCTGGATGGTTTATTTCTATGAAAATCTATGAACATCCAAAAAAAATCGGATGTGGGTAGCCCCATGACTTAGGAAACCTCCCAATGGCTCAAACAGCTGGAGGTCGCAACGGTACTGTGGGTATCTCCCTGGACGACCTAGTGGACCTGTGCAAGGCAGTGGAGGGAACTTCCCCAGGGACCTGAAACGTAAAGTGAAGCTTGGAGAAAATGGGTTTGGAAGATGTTCTCGAGAAGTTTTCTGAGTTTCAATTCTCCTACTTTGATGGTTCCTGATGGTTCCATATGCAAAAGGATGAATCTTCTGGATTTTTGTTTGATCCTTAGAGTGTGGTTCTTTTTGGTACGGGTACTGTGATTTATTGTGGGGTACTCCAGTTCAACCATAGACTGGCCTCAAGATGATCAACTCCCGCGGTCAGCTATGTATGGGCCATTTTACCATGCAAAAGCCATCACCCAGACACCACAATATCTGGTAGTTATGCATGTTCATCCGCATCAAATGTCCATTGATATCATTTTGATATCCAACTAAGTAACTAAGATCAAACATCCGCATCTACCAGCCTTCAAATTGGGGTCGTTTTCAATCATTCAGTTCATCGCATCCAGGACCTGCAGAGTTTGGAGTTCAAGAAGTTTCGCCAGAGGCGCAAGAGCTCGCACCAAGACTTGTCATGCAGGGTCGGGGGCCCCCGGGGGCCTCAAGCTGCAGTTGAGGTTGGTTTGAATAATGTTTGAAATATGGTAGTGAAAAGATCTAAGAAAAAAAAAACAGCTCTCTTCACAAGAAATTTGAATTGGATGTGGGTTGAAGTTGAAGCATCTTGAACGCCAGCATTGTGAATTGGACTGAGTGATCAGCGCTGTCACGTTCGACACCTCCTTGACTTCTCGGATCCTCTCAGTCCTTTGTTTGTTGCAATCTTATCAGCCCAGTGAATGAAAAATCTCGCAGCACCTGCATCAATCAATTTTCATGAGACTTCAAAGCCTCTGTGCATGTTGGAGACCTCCACCATCCACTATCACAGCGAGGCTCTGATTCTGCACACGCCAGCGCGTTCATTCTCCTTCCTCTTCAACAACGGTGCGACTCCGGGGCATAGTTTGTCCAAAAATAGGCGATCACAAAAACCAAGCGGTTTATCAACATGTCATCCACTTTCCCTGTTTTGTATTGGTGAATATACGACTTTCTTGAAAATACTGGTATACTTCAGCCAAACAGCAAAAACCATGGTTGAATCGGTGAAATCCATTGCCAGCTTCCCAACGTGATGTGCTGGGCCACTTTCTGCTGTACCTGCTGAAGAGCCGTGCGCGAGGAATCATGGTGCGGGACTTCCAGACCGGTCTGTATTTGTGTACATGAGGATCATGAGGTACCCTCTGGTTATGACTAACAGTTTGCCATGGAAAGGAAAAATCACCATGCTATTAATAGGTAAACCATCTATAAATGGGCCATCTATACCATGGCTATGTTAAATAACCAGAGGGTAGATCTTCCAAGATGATGTCAGTTCAATCAGTAAATGGGCACTTGTTGATTGGAAGCCCATTGGTTTGGGGCTAAATCCAGCACCACTTGCCGACCAACACAAATCCCTCAGTGATTCACTGCCCAATGGTCGCTCACTTTGCCTGGGGCAAATCATGATGAGTTCTACTGGATTGGGGGTACCGATGAGCCTACTGGCTGGTAGTTTCAAATGTGTCTTAATGTTCAAGCAGGTCATTGTGTTACAGATTGGATGATGATCCCCAATTACGAGCTATCCCCAAAAAAATCAGGGTGGCTTAGCCAGCAATCAGCCGATGTTTGCCAAAATACATGGATAAATACATGGATTCCCCCCGCTATGTGCTGCCCAAGGCCAACATGTGCTCTTCGAACCACGAGGATGATGAAACTCCAGCCACCAGCGCGCCACCCGAGGGCTTTGGGCGGCCCCCGACATGTTGCAGGGAGTGAAGCGATGGGACGATGAGGATAGGGTTGAAGTATTAAATGACGTGAAAATGAATGATTGAAGTTGACATGAAAGATATTATAGACATTTATGGACATATATACAATATATATATATATATACACATACAATATTTATATAATTATATGATGTAATATATATATATTATACACACTATAGATATATTAGTATATTAGGATTATGAAGATACATAGATAAAAGTGATTCTATAGAAATGAGAAGAAATCTGCAGGACATGTTCATTTCAAGCCTTGATAAGTTGGGAATCAGCTGAGTCCGCTGGAATTGTGCTCGAGTCCTGTGACCTGGTGGTTGTCATGGCAGGAAAGTGCTGTACCCAAACAACTCTTGCTATGAAGGACGTCGCCATGGTGACCACAAAACACATTGTTGTTGTTTTTTTAGTGTAGGTTGAGCAGTCCCAAAATTGCGGGGGCTTCACTTGCATGATCATTCAAAAGAGTTCAAGTCAGAATTTGATGATTATTTTTCATATAGCCAAAATTTTCAGCAAACATCATCAACCCTGACCTGAACGTGAATGAACGACGGCCCATCAGAGATTCATCCCCAAACATCCCGATGGATTTTGCCGGGTTATATAAGCATCCAAATTTTGGGAAAACCTCTTAGACAAAGGCGAACCAAAAATTTGAGGAAATACCGGTAAAATGCTGGGTAAAGCCAGGGTGGTTCGGTACTTTTCTACAGATCCATATACCCTCTGGTTATTTAACATAGCCATGGAAAATCACCATTTTTAATAGGTAAACCATCTATAAATGGGCCATTTTCCATGGCCATGTTAAATAACCAGAGGATATATATATATGCGATATATGCATCAAAGATGCATATCACCGACCAAACAATCCCCGAATCCTCGAATCCGCAGGAGCCTTCTTTCGCCATATGCGCCATGGCCACGGGACTTTGTACCTTCCGGAGCGGAACATGGAAGAACTGGATCAAGTTTGTGGGAGTTTTTTTTTATTCATAGCTGTATGATCCTGTATGGTCCATTTTTTGGGGGTTGGATCAAGTTCTGGTTGGTGGTTTGGAACAGTTGTTATTTTTCCATATATTGGGAATAATCATCCCAATTGACTAATATTTGTCAGAGGGGTTGAAACCACCAACCAGATTTCATTTGTTTCTTGTTTCAATCTTCTATTTTCATCCGTATTTGTTCTTGGAGATCGATTCTGGGTGAAATGATCAAGGATTGGATGTGTGAAAAAACTCAGAACCGGAATCCAATTTCTGCTGGCTAAATCATCCAAGTCAATCCCAGTGCTGGTGGTTCTACAAAGTTTAAACAATTCTAAAGATATGTCCTTCAGTGAACTACTGTAGCATGGCTATGGAAAACAGCCCAGTTAGTTCGATGATTTACCTACATTTACCATGCAAAATTGTGATTTTCCAGTTCGCAAACTGTTAAATTACAAGTATTTCATTTTAACATCCCTTTAAACCCTCATTTTTCATGGTTAAATCACCATTTGATGATATTTGATTCGTTCCCCAAGTGGCTTTTAAGAACTTCCCTTTTTTCGTGTTCTTAAGAGGACGGCACGCAGCACGAATCTGAATGGTGCAATGATGAACGACACGGGCCAGGGTGCGGCGGCCCGGACAACGTCACTAAAGCTGGGACTGGTGACAGATCAGGCCATTTTGTTCAACATGGCTTACCCTCTGGTAAACTAATACCAAAAACTATGGAAAGATCCACCATTTTCAATTGGGAAATCCACTATATTTCTATGGTCATTTTCAATAGCTATGTAACAAATTACCAACATATTACCAACTATTTTTGTGGATTTTTGTGGTATAGGATTCAGAGATATTCAGAGATTCAGAGAGTTTTCTAAGTTTAAAATAGGATCATGGTCCCCGATGACCCCATTTTTTTCGGTTGCAGAGACCCAGTGGAACGGCTTCTACGACCGGATCAGGAAGGAACATTGGGCTGACGGCACCAAGTTTTCAGGGAACTATGCTGGATCCTCAGCGTTCAGCAGTGAGCGGTACCCAAAAATGCTATTCTTATATATATATATATATTCACTAGGGAAACAGTATTTCTAGGGACATATAGGGACATATATATATATATATATATATGTAGAAATATGTTGAATATATATATATATATATATTCCAGTGAATGCTATTCAACATATTTCTAGGGACATATTAGGGACATTAGGGAAGAACAATAAGCATCATCGGATGAAGAGTCAAATTCTTAAGTGCTAGCCATGGGTAGCATATTTTGAGACGAAGCGCGTTTTTGGGGTAGGAGACCACAGTGAACTTTTAGACGTTGAGTTTGCATCCCTGGAACACAGCAGAAAATTCCACAAATAATAAAAAGCTGTAGCTAAATGTTCAATCACAGAGAAGTCCAGAGATGTTTCCAAGCTGGTTGGTGGTTTCAAACATGTTCTATTCTCCATAATATATGGATATATATATATATGGGATAATTGGATATAATTGGATAATCCTTCCCATTGACGAATATTTTTCAAGATGGTTAAAACCACCAACCAGCAAGTGTTGCTTCCCACGGTGTAGCGCCGCCGTTTTTCACAGCGGGGTCGATCAACCCCCGGGGTGACACTACATATTTCACCATTGTTAACCAGTTCAAAGCAGTGATTCACCATATGAATTTTGATTATTATACCATATTAAACCATATTAAACCATATTAAACCATATAAATCATATTAAACCATATTAAACCATATTAAACCATATTAAACCATATTAAACCATATTAAACCATATTAAACCATATCAATATATATATATATATTAAACCATATTAAACCATATGGTAAATATTCATATATATATATAATATGTATATATATTATGTATATTACCACTGTCATATATCAATGTATATACAATATACAGTATATAACACTAAACCATATTCATCCATATTCAACCACCACGAGGTCCGCGGCATGCGCCATGGTCAGGGCACTATGACCTGGCCGGAGGGTTCCAGGTGACAAACTTAAGACCCAGTGTCTGCGCGTTTGTTTTCAATTGTTTCAATATATATTATATATATATAATATATATAATATAATATATATATAATATATATAATATAATATATATATATATAATATGATATATATATATATATAATATATATATACATATATATATACATATATATATATATATACATATGTATCTAAAGAATTCTATAGATAATACAGGTACTAAGATTTTTTTTTAGGGATGTCATTGTGCATTCGCCAATTGCGCCCACCACCTTGTGCCAGGTACACGGGCATGTTCGAGCGAGGCCGTGCCAATGGCGATGGAGAGCTCATTCGCCTCTCGGTCCAAAGACATGGTGTCTGAGCACTTGGGAAATGGGACGCCAAAATGGGGATGCAGTTTTTCATATTTTACATGGAACCCCTATAATTTTCCCGGGTTTGCGATCATGTTCAGTAGTTGGATATATGTTTGTTTGTTGTTTTTTGTAAGATTACTTTTTCGGAAAGTACACCAATGGTCATATTTCAAGGGTGAAAATGATGATCCACCATGGAATCCATCTTCGGGCAAACCCATCGGCTACAGCGCGGTAGGTCTGGAAACCAAATGAGACAGAGGTTGGGCATACGGCATACGACGATGGCTCGAGATGATTCAAAATGGGGAACACCTTAAAATCCCATTGGTTTATTGTGGTCGCTTCCCCAGCTCCAAGAGTAGAAAAAAAACAGTGAAGCTGGTTATATTCCCATATATTCCCTATGTTGAGACAAATACTGGTTGGTTGCTTGTATTATTTGTCACGTTCCATGCCCATATGGCCCATATGCGCTCAGGTACTGACAACTCCATCTACCGTGGTCAGTTCTTGCAGGACCCCAACTGCTCAACACTTGCAACACTAGGATCATGAAATATCATGAAGGATCTCAGGGACACCTTGGGTAGATATAGTTTAATCAATTTAATCAAGTTGAATTAACCCCAAATCGACAAACCTTTGGGATCCAAGATTGACCATGATCCACTGATGGGATCCCCTTGGTGATGATTTCGATCCGTTTTTTCGTGTTTTGTTCCCCATCCACTTTGAATACCGTGACTTTCAAAGCTGCCAAAGGGGGTTCACTCCAGCAACCAGGTTACACTTTGAGATTGATTTCTATGAAAACCGTCAAAACAACTGAGAAATGGTGGGCCATTGAAGTTGATATGTGTCCTTTTCACATCCTTTTTCTCTGTGGCTGGTATCAAATACATGGGCTATCCCCGCCGGATGTTTACAACGCGGGCTAACAGTACCAAACCGTCCCATCATATGTCAAAACCAACATTGATCGTGCAGGCCTTTTTGATTGTTGTTGGCCCCTCGATCAATAGGTGCTTTCATATGTTTTCTCAATAGGAAAACACCCCCAAGTGGCCATGAAATGAGGAAACTCCGGTTCTAAACCAGAGAGCTAGCCATGGACTAGCCACGTTTTGTTCCCTCAATTTTCAGAGAAGCAAACGGATCATTCCCGGATCATTCCTTGGATCATATATTGGATCTTTCCAGATCCCATGGAATCCCGGCATCTCCAGGATTGCATGTCGGGTTTTGGCTGCATGCAATGGATTGATGGTGTCGAGTGCGCCGAAGTTTGTGTGGAAACTTCGACTGGTTTTCTGGTCGCTGAATGGGTGATTTCGAAGGGACACTTTTCAGGTTTGGGGGTTCATCCAGGATGCTTACCTTAAGTTCATCCTTGTTCTGCAAAAAACAGAGAAAGAGATTGTGAACTTGTGACCTGTGGGTTCCAACATGTTCCAACAAAGTCAGAAAACATCTTTGGTCAATCTTGGTCACCATGGCATCGTGGGTTCTAGGGTTGACATCATCCGATGTGGTCATTTCATGTCATTTCGACCTGAGGCATACTCGGTAGCAACGAATGTTTCTGGGTAAATTATAAATAATCATAATAACCTCACTGCGACCAAAACCTGGAATCATGGTACATAAGGGAAATTATCCCCAAATGGCCTTAATTCAGAATTAGTGAAATATTGTAATTTACCATAATTTACCCAGTTAAATGATGTTGATATATTTCAATTACTGCAGAAGAAACAACATTTGGGGAATAGATAGTGCGATTCTTGTAGTGTTTCAATACCTCCGTTACTGATCGTTACTGTAGATGGGGGGCGATTTCTGGTCGAAAAAAATGCCAAGAGTTCTGGAAAATTGCCCCATCGATGGTTTCCATGTTGCACGTGTCACATTTCTCGGGGTGAAGATCCCTCCGGCAAATTAGCATCCAAAGAATTCCAAAGGAACAATCTACCATTTATAGGATTCTTTTCCCATAGCACTGGTTTACAATATGGTTTACAGAATTTTATAGATCATTTCAACCACAATATCAATAATTTTCCCATTGATAGATAAAATGAACATCTCGAAAACTGGATAATCCGGATGATTTTGCCATAGAAATACAACATCGAACAGATGGTCTAAATTCGCAGTTGGCGTAGCGCCCCCTTTTTTGGCAGGGCCTGGCTTCCAGCCACGAGGTACAAAGGCGAATTTTCCAACAACAAACGGCATGGCCTTGGCAAGATGGCCAGGGACACTGGTGATGGGAAAATAATGAGAAAATGATTGGAAATAATCAGGGAAAACAAGTGTTTGATGTTTTTGTTGGGTCCCGTTTTGGTGCAAAGCATTGAATCATAACCTGGTCGGACTACGAAATCAACGCTGGTTGATGCTTTCCAAGGCTGTTTCTCTTCGATCTTATTTGGGATGAGAGGAGGGCCTATATATAATATGTGTGCCATGGGTTGAAGCCACCAACAGAACAAAGTGGAGCATTTGAGGCTTTCCAGAAGTTGGCAACAGGCCAGATCTTGCAAGGGCTACAGTACTGGGAAACCTTGAACATCCAAGTGGAGATACTTGTGGAACCAATGTTCCAGGGCAAGGTTAGCCGTGAAACACGGTGGAAATGGCCACATGTCGAATTTGTTTTTCTTTGCCATGAGGTGTGGACTTCCGGCAAGTGGGTGAGCTACGAAGGTGCTTGGAAGGTGGGAACGATTCTGAAGCTGGGGCTGATCTGAAGAGTTAGTTGTATAGACGTGGTCTTGTCATGACTTATCCTGATAATATGGGGCATAGCACAAGTTGGGCAATTCTTATGGGATATGTGCTCTATATTGTTGGACAAGCCCACATGTTTTCATTGTTGAGAAGGATAACTTGAAAATGAATTGCAAGCCACATGGGGGCGTGCTATGGAAGGTGAGGGAAGTTTGTTGAGGCAAGACTTGCGAATTGTCCATGAGTTTCAATCTTTGGTAAATCTGATATTCCAAATTGCTATAATATAGCAATTTGATGCAAGTTGGGACACGCACAAGTCGTGGTATCTTCCATGGATATCCATGGGTTATATAAGTTATACAGTTCCATTCTGTCATTTGTCTCAAAAGTTCTTAGCCGCCAAAATGAGATGGCTATATTTAATCAAAGAACAATAAAAAACAGATAAACAGCAGAGAAGCAACAGACAACTAATAGGTTTAAACAGCGGTTTCAACAGACAAACAGATGAAAACCGATCAGCCAACAGCTCAAAAACGGATCAGCCCCAGGAGGGCTTACAACATGGCCGTGGCATCCTGACAGACAGAGATGGCAAAGTTCGGGGGACTCAGAATCCAGCCTGGGAGTGGGGCCCAAAGTAGGAAAAATGGTGGTTTAACCAGCAGAAATGGTGGATTTCATGAAAGATTATCAGATAGGGATTGAACCACCAAACATGGTGAGCATTGGTTGTTTACCCAGCAAAAAATGTTGATTTAGCATGATTTAGCCAACAAAGATAGTGATGTTAATTCTGGGATATATGATTATTTTTTATTATCTTTTATTATGGGAATGTAACGGGAAGATGATATTTGTTTGATTGGGATAGAACTGAGCAACTCCGATTCTTTTTGAGCATATTTAGATTGAACCATCGTGAACAGTGCAATGGTGGTTTCACAAGCAAAAGCTATAATGTTATGATGGTATATTCATGTGTATTCTGGAGACATAATGGGGATATCCCTTTTTGAGATTTGTTACATGGATGGATGGTGTATTTTTTGGGATTTCAGCAGCAAAAATGTTGCGCCAATGGGGATATTTTCTAGGATGTTTGGGTGAATATGTGCGAATTGCCTCCAGTGTCATCAAATATGACTGGCTGGGACATTCCCTTTTGAATGATTATATGAATGGGAAAAGCATCGAACTAAAGGGTATAGGGCGAAAGTTCATGAATTTTCCAGCAAGCCATGTTTGGTTACGACACGGTATGCAAGAAAACAACATATTATACATATATACATATCAAACCGGTGTTAAATAGTTGATTTGATCAAAGTTGAGGAGTCTAATTAGCCCTCAAAGAGATTGAAAAGTAGTTGTGTTTTTTTTTGGGGGGTGTGCTACAAGAGTTTGTTGTTTTTTCATCGAGTTGATGCAAGCAAAAATGGCACAGGTGCACGTGGGTCATTTTCAGAATGGCAAGCTGGACCATTGGGAGGAGAAGTCCGTCAAGGCGTGGGTTCTTTTCTGAGTCGCTGGTCGGCCAGGCAATGCCACGTTTAGCAATGTGGACATATGTGGACCTGTGCAAAATGTGTTTCGAACATGTGTGTCTCCAATGGAAGGGGCTATATAATCTATATAACTCAATGATACTGATTCTGAATATTTGCTGATTCTCATGCAGATTGCGAATCAGTTGCCGAGTTTGCTGTGTTTGAATTACTCCACAGAAACCTCCAGAGTTGCCCAAAATTTCCACAACAGCTGCCTGTGTCAGGTGCATGCACCAGATACGGGATCCACCTAATGCCAGGTGAGGGCAACTTGTTGAGATTGCATGTTGAACTTAAGTCAGCCCAAGATTTCTCCATAGCTTCAACTGTTGAAACATCAACAAACAATCAGAATTCACAGATACCCTCTGGTAAACTAACATAACTATGGAAAATCACATTTTTTAATGGGAAAACTCACTATAAGTGGCCATTTTCAATAGCTATGTTAAATTACCAGAGGGTATCCCCAAGTTTCCTTTGGGTTTCTGGCTTTGGATGGGCAGACTTAAGCGACCTGCGTCCAGGTTTCACCAGCAGAAAAACTTACATGGCCCCAGCCAGAAAAGCGAGTCCCCGAGTCCCCACATGGATGATGGACACATTAATATAGACACATCATGGCAACATATGGAATACACATGGAATACACATGGACGCTATAAAACTATATAAAACTATATAAAACTATAAAACTGGTATAACGCTATAGGCAATAAGGGTATAACTGCTTGGTGGTTGCGAAGCTGGCTTGTTTTATCTTCTTTTCAACCGATGAGATGATGGTGGGTTGAAGGCAACCCACGGTGGGCTGCAAGAAGCTTGGCTCAAGGGTGCGCTTGGAGAGACACGGCCTTGAAAACAAAGCGCGTGTTATTTGATGATTTTGATGTTGGTTTCACAGTTTCACATCACAACATATCACAACCATAGGCTTCCGGTCGAGGTGGAGTTGTCTCGAGATCTGGGCCACAGCTTCAGATCTTAAGCGAATCACCGTCTTAACCTCTCCCTTAGAGCCCTGAGTTTGAGCGGTGAGCTATGGTGCGTTTCAGGCGCCCTTGGCACAGTGAGATGTGGGGGACCATGCTCTGCCTCCCCAAGAGTTCTCAAAAAGTTCACATGGAATCCATGGAATCAAAAAAGAGGAAAGGTCCATGTGAACTTCACAGCCTTTTGCGTTCGGTTTTCCTCTTCGTTTTCAGCGTCGCTATGAATTTTCGCTGTCTCAGACTTGGGGGGTGAATCGGGGTTGAACAACGCAGCACCACAGGGTTTATCGATGTTTATCGGGAAGCTTCCGAACGATGAATGAATGAATCTGAATGAATAGATGGGTATGGATCAATACCTATTAATACCATTTTTAGGGGGATGAACATCCATTTACCAGCTATTTTGATGTTCACCAGGGGTACAAGGTTTTGACACACTGCCAGATGGTTTGGATGTGTTTGGATAGATGGTGTTGCTCCATGTAGCTCCATGTAGCTCCCATTTGGACTCAAAATGGCCACGTCAGTTTGCTGAATGTACCATACGTAGACCATCATAGACCACTTGATATAACGTTCAAGAATCCAAACCCTAGTTGTAATATGTTGTAATATGTGATGACTTTTCTAGTTGTGGAAGATTGGGAGGAGTGGCTGCCCAACCACAATATTCTGCCTCGAAAAGCCTTGAAGTGCACAGGTTGAGCAAGTTGCAAGATCCAAAGGCTCTTCGAGGCTTTCTCTGGGCTTTGCGTTTGGTGAGGATTAAGCTGACAATTCAGCTGACGCTGCAGTGGTGTTCAGTATGCGTTTGTGTCTTGCAACATTCTGGAACATTCAGGCATATTAATTTATCAAGTGAGATAAGCGAGATATAGTGCGATTATCTTCCATGAGCTAAAATTGTACAATTGATTGGAACGGTGATCCAGACATATCCAAAAGTCTTAGTTGTCCATGTGAGATGCGGAAAACATCCTGCATCAACTGCATCACCCCACCTTGCTCTCAGAGGTAAATGGAATATAGAAAGAATTTATCCAGACATGGGGTAAAACTAAAATGACAATGTTGAATGCACTAGTAACCACTAGTATAGTATAGAATGATAATAAACCACTGGAATTACAGAAGTAAGCCTGTTGACAACGATGATCAGACATTCATTCCCAGCAGTGATTGAAGGGAATCTTACAGGAACCTCCTGTGTGACCAAGCCACGGTTTCCGGTTTGTCGTGTCTCTTAAACAACGCCCCCGGTGATAACGTCGGGGATGGAGATCTGGGATCCTATGGGATCCACAGCCGCAGCATGTTTCTTTAAGTCATGGACCCCGAGGACGACGCAGTTTGGGTCTCCGGATGTCTCCCCGTCGCGCTGCATGGTGAAAGCAGCGGTGAAATCCCCGGTTTCACCGCTGGGGAAGCTCCTGGTGCTTTCACTCTGTGTGCTGCTTCCCTGGCTGGCTCGGTCGACCCCCTTCGCTGCTCCCAGATTTAGAGGGACACGACTGGGACAGGGACGACAGGGACGACAGGAAGACCCATTGAGCAGAAATGCATTGAGCCCAGTGATTCAAGCTTGGCAGCTGCAGCAAGAGCGTGACAGAGAATATGATGAGCTGTTGCGCGGCGGTTTTTCCAAAGAGAAGATGTTGCTCGGCTGGGAAAGTATGAGTGGATGCTTTTCTTTAATCCTATTTTGTTGATTTTCATCAAGGTGACTCTCTATGCATTAACTTTGCAGCCATACACTTGAAGAACATTTCGTCTATGGCGATTGCCCGTAAGTGCTTGTTGTTCCTGCGTCAGTCGCAAGGGACCAGGATTCTGATAGAAAGTGCTATATATGATATCCACATATATCCGCCCAGCTTCGTTTGACTACATTTTTTTTTTGAAAGGCATTTCTACTTTCAACCCCTAGTTGGGAAGCTGCTCCGAAGTGACCCGTGTTTTTGGCGACTTTAGTTCCTTCCTCAGATTTGGGTGTCTGGGGTTCATCAAAATTCATCAATTGATTCATTCCAGCCCTGACAGGTTTCAGTTCTTTCGCGGGCGGCCACATTTGATTCTGCGCCGCTTCTACGAAATCGGTCAAGTTCTGCTCCCTGCCTGGCAGGTTTGGACCAACCCGAAGGAGGGGACAAGTCGTGTCTCTGCTGCAAGGGTTTGCAGTGCTGAGACAGAGCGCTGGCTTTGGACATCACCAACATGTTTCTTGAACTTGGTATATCCATCCAGTAGTGGCCAGAAGTGAACTCAATTGGCAACATTAAAGCCAACTTCGTGTTAAGTCTCGTGCTGTTTCAAAACTCTGATGACCCAAAATGCATCAAATATCATCAAATGCTCTTCTCTTTCTGAAACATTGGTATGTCAAAGCATGGCGGAAGACCCCAAGAAAGCAGGAACAGGTTCCAAATTTGGTTCTCATTTTGTGAGAGCACCTTGGGTTTCGGGGTTAGACACCCCATTGCATAGACAATCATAGACATATGTGGTCGCCAGTGCCTTATCAATTGCCATAGCTGCACTGGCTATGTCAAAACATGTGGAATACGAGCCCTCAAATGGTATGTTTCAAAAGGGGTTTCAGGATGTTAGAGGCTAAAACCATACAAACAGTTGCTAACACACATGAACACACCAATATCAGATTTTATTTATAAGTATGTACAGCAACCTCAAACGGCCGCCAAAACATCATTGCATAGGCTATTCGGAAAGCCATCGGTTTGGGAATCAGATGTGACAGGGTCAAAACGTGGGTTAATTTATCTGGTTGGTGGTTTGGAACATTTATTTTCCATAATATATGGGATAATCCTTCCCATTGACTAATTTTTTTCAGAGGGGTTGAAACCACCAACCAGTTATGTTAATTTCTCATATTGGGGGATGGTCATCAATCCAGTGATATGGATAAACATTTAGACCCATTACCTTTGGATTCTGGGATGAGGAGGTTTTGATCGTGGCTCAGATGTAGTTCTTCTCGCATGTGTTTTTTTTGGATGTTGAAGCCCTTAAGTTTGCTCAAATGAACTTTGACATATATACAATTATATATACAATTATATGTGTATATATATATATATTAGCAGTCCGGTTGGCATGTTTATCCACTAACTTCTGTTTTGGACCCTTTTAGCCATTTATAATAGGGCCGGAGCTATTTGTAGCGTATTTATGGAAATTATTAAAAATGAATGGGATCAGTCCCAGCTGCAAACGTGAAGACCAAATGGCACACTAGTAGAGCCACACCAGATATTCATCAGCGCAATATTATCAGCTAATAGACCAATAAATCCATAGACGCAACAATAATGCATTCATACATCCAATCTGGCAGAAGAAGAGGATGCACTATGTGGAAGTCGTCATTCACTTGTTTGTTTTCCAAGTGAAAGTGAAAACCTACCAGGTTTAAGGCTTGGATCTGTGAATGCACTGGATTTACCCTCAAAGGCACACCGAAGCAGCACAAGCCACTGGATTGTCGCTCGTGGAATAGGTTGGGCTCTCCCTGTAAGGGTTCTTGTCTGGAACTTTTCATAAATTGGCCGCGACTGCTTATAAACCAGCCGGAACTATTTATAAATTGTCCGGAACTATTTATAAATTGGCCGGAACTATTTAAACCAGCCGGAACTATTTTAAAATTGGCCGGAACTATTTTGAAATTGGGCCACACGCTGGTCCAGACTATTTCTAATATTGCCCGGACTTATGACATGGCCGATTGTATTTATAATATTGCCAGCTGCGCTCCCCAAATTCAAAATATGTACTTCGTTGGCTTCGTCGGGGTTTGCAAAATTGAGCTTTGCTGCATCACAATGACCGGAACATCTTATTGAACCAATGCCCAACTGCTTGGGCCATGATTCAATCACTTGACTTTTAGGCACTCTGCACTCTGCAATCATCTTTTTTTTACAGTATACAGAGTATCAGCCTCGCTGTTAGACCTTAATCAAATCTTGTTCTTGCTTTGACAAGTCGTGCATGCTGCATTCTAGATCTACCAGCTGCTCCGCACATATTAATGTGCAATGACCATGCTGGCAGAATGCTTTTCAAATAGGTCATTTACCACAAATCCTGCCCATCGGTGGTTTGTTTGCAGATATAGTCCGGAACCTTTGGGAACCGTTCTGAACAATATTGACGCTGCTTTTGATGAATAGTTCGGAACCGTTCGGAACTGTTCTGAACTACGCCAAGGAATGGATTAGTTCCAAATAGTTCTCAATAGTTCCAAATAGTTCGGGGCTTTTTATGGTTCGGAACCGTTCGGAACTGTTCTGAACTATATTTAAATGGCACGGCCGTAATAGTTCGGAACCGTTAGAGTATATCGAAATACGCCAAAAGACTCAAAAATAAGCTATCAGCAATGCAAATTTGAATCATGCATCTGAAAATATTCTGGAACTGATTGAAACCGTGTTGAACCATAAAGTATATATATAGACTAGAACTACAATGTTTTATATATATATAGTAAGTTTGTCGTTTTTGCGCCATAAACTTTCGATGTTTGTTAAAGGTTTTTTTGTTTTAAATATCTGCTCGGCCCAGCTTACTATATGTATAGGTATGGTGCATGCAACATGTCAAAACAAGTGTGTTGAATCTAGGTGGGAATGATCAGGAAATATACCATGCGAAAAAAAGAAAAACCCCTTCCGGAAATTGACTGGTATTCATGAAAATCGACTCCAGTTTTCATGAAAAGTTGAATAGACTTCGCAAACAGTTCCAAGGCCTTGGGCCCCACAACAGACAAAGAGGCCTACCAGACTGCTAATATATATATATATATATATATATTTATTTATTTATTATATATATATATATTTATTTATATTCCATGATGTTCCCATTTATTTCATCCCATATCATAGGAAATTCCATTTTATATTCCCATATTTAATACTATATATTCCCATATCATAGGAAACTCCCCTATATAACTATATTCCCACCCAATTCATCCCAGGAAAATTCCATGAAATTCCCAGGTGGCGAGTACCTTAAGGGCAGTTTGCAGCGCCTGGGCCCCGTCTTCGTCAAAGTGGGTCAGACCTTGGCCCAGCGCCCAGACATCGTCGGGGACGACGCGGCCGAGGTGCTGAAGTCGCTGCAGTCCAAGACCAAACCCTTTCCGGATGAGATCGCGTGCACCGGCATGTAACAACCGGGGGTGGGCCAACATAAAACATGGAGAACATACAGAAACCTATAGAAAGCCATGCAACAAATATATATATATATATAATCCCGAGGATGCTGGAAAGATATACGGAAAATACATGCAAAACATGTGGACATCATTGGTCATTATGTATATACGTATTTATATACAATTATGTATATATATATATTATATACATACAGTGTATATATATATATATGGAGGTTTCCTAAAGTCATTTGAGTAGCCCAAATCATCCAAGTCATGGATGGCCATTCTAGTATTGAAACCCATGGCGACTTGGGGATCCCCCATTTTCAGAAACATCCATAAAGAAGCCTGCCGAGAATGCTGGAAAGATATGGAAAACATATGGAACACATGTTGATTTTGTTGGAATGTCGTGCATTTGATAACATGTTGATTATTTTTTTCAAGTCGTGTTATCTCAGGAGATGTTTCATTCGGGGATTTCTTGAATTGAACACAGTTTTTGTGTACTAGTGTTGTCTCAACACATGGGGGGGACCTCTATACTGGCAAGAGTGAAAGGGGAAAATAAATCCTAAAAATAGATGGGATGGCATGAGCAATCTTTATAATTAATTTTTGAGGCCAGGTCATGTTTTTTTTGTTTGTGGAGTCACCTACTCCCCAAAAAAATGTTCAAGAACCGTGGGCCAGCAATGAATATGGTGTTCATCTACAAAGCTTGGGGTAGTTCCAGCAATTTCTACCGATTTCACTCATAGGGACTTGGAATAGAGCAAAAATGAGAAGCATTGAGAATCAGCAAGAATCGAGGCGGTATATCACTATACGTGTTCAATATTGATCCTCCTTGCCATTTCCTCTACAGAATGGGGGGGGTTGGGGTGCCTATTTTGAACCATTTTATGGGAATTGGTGGCCTTAAATGGGGTCGGACATACCATTTTGTAGTAATTTGTGGGTTTTACCTGGTTTTATCATTTTTGTTTTGAAGGCATGATCATTTTTGGGCACCAAGACCAACCATTTTGTAACAAACAAAAAGCCATTTTGTAGATGTTTTTAAGGGTATGATTTGGTGGTTTTAAAAAATGTGAATTAGTCATTGACAAAGAAAAATCATCTAGCCATTCTGTAGAGAACCCATCGTTTCAATAAATGTACCATTTTGTAAGTGCATGTTTGTGTTTGCAATGGTTGGCTCATATACACTTTAGGAAATTTCAATTGCCCTGCCGTCCCAAATTAGTCTGTGTATAACCCATGGGGTATGTTTTTTCTAGAAAATGGTTAGGCCTGCTGCCTAGAGTCAACCATTTTGTAGACTGGTGTAGGTCTGAAGATAGACCATATTTTTATGATTGCGTTGAAAGGAGCAGTGGCAAAGAATTGTGATTGAATTTGTTCCTTCTGGATCTTGTCGGATTCTTCAGCCTTATCCAAACTTCGATACCGATTGTTCCCTGGAAGATCTGTGTCAAAATAGCATTCTTCTCCTGATCTTCGTTTTTGCTTTGGAACATTTTGGAACCGTTTTTGTGACCGGAACATACTGGAACCGGAAAAAAAATCCATCTTCAGAAGGATTGCCAGCACATTGTTGGCAAAAAAAATAGAAAAATATTCATGCTGCAAAAGTTGCATGAAAAAAAATGGATCCACCTCCGAAAAGGAGGAGTGAAGACGACCAGAGGGTAAAAACCCTACAAAATGGCACTGGGAAAAAGGCAGTTGACGCTGAGGTCTTGCCAAGATAGAGGCTCTACAAAATGGCTCTGGGATTTTTATATGTTTTATAAAATCATGAATGCACTGGTTTGATCATTTTTTGACTAAATTGTCAAAATATTTGTGGATCAAAACAGGTGACAGGCACTACCATTTTGTAGAGCCATGGGTTATAGACCGACCATTTTGTAGGATGGAGACCCTGTACCGGAGCCATTTTGTAGAGACAGGGGTTGGTTCACTACAAAATGGGGCACCCCAACCCCCCCCCAGGGAATGGCAAGGAGGATCAATATTGTTCATATTGTTTCGCAGTTCCATGCGTTCAAGAAACAGGTAGCCGACTGTGATGGACTGGCTACTATGAATCTCTTGGTTGCCCATCTACGGACCGCATATATATCGTTTGTATATTATATGGCAGTGAGAAATGAGATCAAATGCCTTCTGGTCATTAATTTTTGTTTGTCGATGACATCCCATCATCATCCATCATCAGGATTCCCCATCATCCTCACCACCCCTTCACATGGATTTATGTATGTGATTGTTTTTTTGTTGTAGGTGAATATATAAACACAATATGGAAACTCAAGATCAATGTTTTTTTTGAATTGTGAATGGTGTATGGATTTACCATTCGTGAATCCCCAAGAAGCTGTCCCTCCCCCAAAAAAAATGTTTGTCATTCAGAATGAACAGAACAACGGTTCCTTAAAACAGTTCAAAACATTTTTTTCAGCCAAGCATTTTTGTTGCCCCCCCTTTGGTGGGCCAACGTTTGATGGATGAACCGAGGTTGTAAACACCAGGACTTTCATCTTCTGCTCATTTTTTCCTGAGTACCAGTAGGTGGAATTCAACATAATTCAAACACAACATACAATAACGCCATATATATATATAACACCATATAACAATCATGCAAAACATTCATATAACAGTAATTTAACATGGAATATCATCACATAATATCATATAGCAGTAATTTAACATGGAATATCATGATATAACATCCATATAACAGTAATTTAACATGGAATATCATCATATAATATCATATAACAGTAATTCAACATGGAATATAATCATATAACATCCATATAACAGTAATTTAACATGGAATATCATCATATAACATTCATATAACAGTGATTTAACATGGAATATCATCATATAATAACATATAACAGTAATTTAACATGGAATATCATCTTATAACATTAATTTAACATGGAATATCATCATAAAACATTCATATAACAGTAATTTAACATGGAATATCATCATATAATATCATATATCCGTAATTTAACATGGTATATCATCATACAACATTCATATAACAGTAATTTAACATGGAATATCATCATATAATACCATTTAACAGTAATTTAACATGGAGTATCATCATATAACATTCATATAACAGTAATTTAACATGGAATATCATCATATAATATCATATAACAGTAATTTAACATGGAATATCATCATATAACATTCATATAACAGTAATTTAACATGGAATATCACCATATAACATCCATATAACAGTAATTTAACATGGAATATCATCATATAACATTCATATAACAGCAATTCAACATGGAATATCATCATATAGTATCATATAACAGTAATTTAACATGGAATATCACCATTTAACATTCATATAACAATAATTTAACATGGAATATCATCATATAATATCATGTAACAGTAATTTAACATGGAGTATCATCATATAACATTCATATAACAGTAGTTTAACATGGAATATCATCATTTAATATCATATAACAGTAATTTGACATGGAATATCATCATATAACATTCATATAACAGTTTTTTCACACGGAATATCATCACATAATATCATATAACAGTAATTTAACATGGAATATCATCATATAATATCATACAACAGTAATTTAAAATGGAATATAGGCATATATCATTTATATAATAGTAATTTAACATGGAATATCATCATATAATATCATATAACAGTAATTTAACATGGAATATCATCGTATAACATTCATATAACAGTAATTTAACATGGAATATCATCATATAATATCATATAACAGTAATTTAACATGGAATATCATCATATAATATCATATAACAGTAATTTAACATGGAATATCATCATAAAACATTCATATAACAGTAATTTAACATGGAATATCATCATATAACAACATTTAATATCATGATATAACATTCATATAACCGTAATTTAACATGGCATATCATCATATAACATTTATATAACATTAATTTAACATGGAATATCATCATATAACATTCATATAACAGTAATTCAACATGGTATATCATCATATAACCTTCATATAACAGTAATTTAACATGGTATATCATCATATAACATTCATATAACAGTAATTTAACATGGAATATCATCATATAATATCATATAACATTAATTTAACATGGAATATCATCACATAACATTCATATAACAGTAATTTAACATGGAATATCATCATTTAATATCATATAACAGTAATTTAACATGGAATATCATCATATAATATCATACAACAGTAATTTAAAATGGAATATCATCATATAACAACATTTAATATCATGATATAACATTCATATAACCGTAATTTAACATGGCATATCATCATATAACATTTATATAACAGTAATTCAACATGGTATATCATCATATAACATTCATATAACAGTAATTCAACATGGTATATCATCATATAACCTTCATATAACAGTAATTCAACATGGTATATCATCATATAACATTTATATAACAGTAATTCAACATGGTATATCATCATATAACATTCATATAACAGTAATTCAACATGGTATATCATCATATAACATTTATATAACAGTAATTCAACATGGTATATCATCATATAACCTTCATATAACAGTGATTTAACATGGAATATCATCATATAACATTCATATAACAGTAATTTAACATGGAATATCATCAAATAACATTTATATAACAGTAATTCAACATGGTGTATCATCATATAACATTCATATAACAGTAATTTAACATGGAATATCATCATATAACATTTATATAACAGTAATTCAACATGGTATATCATCATATAACCTTCATATAACAGTAATTTAACATGGAATATCATCATATAACATTCATATAACAGTAATTCAACATGGTATATCATCATATAACATTCATATAACAGTAATTTAACATGGAATATCATCATATAACATTCATATAACAGTAATTCAACATGGTATATCATCATATAACATTTATATAACAATAATTTAACATGGAATATCATCATATAACATTTATATAACAGTAATTCAACATGGTATATCATCATATAACATGGAATATTCATATTCATATAACAGTAATTTAACATGGAATATCATCATATAACATTCATATAACAGTAATTTAACATGGAATATCATCATATAATATCATATCATCATATAACATTCATATAACAGTAATTTAACATGGAATATCATCATATAATATCATATAACAGTAATTCAACATGGAATATCATCATATAATATCATATAACAGTAATTCAACATGGAATATCATCATATAATATCATATAACAGTAATTCAACATGGAATATCATCATATAACATTCATATAACAGTAATTTAACATGGAATATCATCATATAACATTCATATAACAGTAATTTAACATGGAATATCATCATATAACATTAATTTAACATGGAATATCATCATAAAACATTCATATAACAGTAATTTAACATGGAATATCATCATATAACATTCATATAACAGTAATTTAACATGGAATATCATCATATAACATTCATATAACATTAATTTAACATGGAATATCATCATATAACATTCATATAACATTAATTTAACATGGAATATCATCATATAAATCATATAACAGTAATTCAACATGGAATATCATCATATAACATTCATATAACAGTAATTTAACATGGAATATCATCATATAACATTCATATAACAGTAATTTAACATGGAATATCATCATATAACATTCATATAACAGTAATTTAACATGGAATATCATCATATAACATTAATTTAACATGGAATATCATCATAAAACATTCATATAACAGTAATTTAACATGGAATATCATCATATAACATTCATATAACATTAATTTAACATGGAATATCATCATATAACATTCATATAACATTAATTTAACATGGAATATCATCATATAACATTCATATAACATTAATTTAACATGGAATATCATCATATAACATTCATATAACATTAATTTAACATGGAATGGAATATCATCATATAACTTAGAAAACAAAAAACCTTTAAACGTTGGGGAGATGTCCTCGACTCGATACCTCTTTTAGGCATCGGATCATCCTGGAGGATTTGAACCACACGGGACCGCTGGCGCCTGGGTTGTGCCCGGAGGGCTTCGACTGCGACGGATCGCCCCTGTTTCGGGAGATCTCCGCCGAGACCATTGCCTCGGCTTCCCTGGGGCAGGCGGAGCCTGGCGGAGCCATGGAAAACCGTTTCGGAAAAGCTATGGAAAAGTTGGAACATCAATGAACATCCAATTGAAATTGAGTGGTAAAGGATGTGTTTCCATGTTTTTTCCTATAGATCATGGTTGGTAAGTATCTGTCAGGGATACATTTTCAGTAATAACCAGTTTAAGGTTTATGTCTAGCTTTGAGGAATTTCAGAATGTGCCCCCAAAGTTAGGAGTGATAGGTAGAAACTTGGCAAAACGGCAAAATATATAATTCATTATTTAGAAATTGATTGGATATTGGTTTAGGAATGTTTAGGAATGTTTAGGACATGTTTAGGACATGTTTGGGATTTTTGTTGGTGTGATTGTGAATGTGTGTGATGTTTCTTTACTGAAGGCTTCATGAGATGATCTAGGATGATCTTCCCTACTATCAAGTCATATCAAATCTATGTCTATCGCACATTTTTGCTGGGATGATTTCGACATTTTCCATAGTTTCTGTAGGTCTCGGGGATGGTCTTACTATATTTTTCTAATGTCTTATAAATTAAGCCATGTGTTCATTTCTACCATGTTTTTTTTCTGATTTTCCTTCCAGGTCTACAAGGCGAAGACCCGTGAGGGTCAGCAGATCGCCCTGAAAGTCATGCGTCCGGGGGTAGCGCGCCTGGTGGCCTGCGACTGGGTCTGCTGGTTCTTAGCCTTGAAATTGCAACGGCTGCAGCTGGGATTGTATGGGCTGTGGGGCTGATGGCAGACCCGGGGAGCTTGGTTTGAAGTGAGATGATGTGGTAAAACCATGTTGGAAACATAGAGAACTATAGAAAACTGAGATTGTTGTTTGAAAGATTATTCGAAATCTGGAAAAGAGAACATACTTCTGCAGAGAATTGTGGGTAGTTGTAGATACATATTTCATCATAGAAGGCAAATTTAGTTATTTTGCTTGGATTTATCATGGTGCCCTGTTTTTTCAAGAACATGGTCATCATGGTCTTTTTTCAGGATCATCTCGCGGACTCGAAAAGGGGAAGTGACCAGTACCCTGGCAGCCAACATGATGTCATGGGGATTCCAAGGAACAAATGGAAGCTTTCCTAACGATATAATATATTACATTAATCTAATAATAACAAAAGTAATAATATATAGTAGTCCTCATCATCATTGCTTATAATATAAATATTAATACTATTTACATATATTTTAGAAGCAATGATGATGAGGACGATGAATGTTTGACGACCATAGTAAGTTTCCCAACTTCTGAACAGGATCACCATTTTGGACTTGGAAACTTGCGATCGTAGGATAACAAAGAGCAACCTATCTTCTTGTGGAAGATGCTGAAATCCATAGTTCCGGGGGGAAACAAAGAACCAGGGATACAAAAATGTGTCTTTCCAACATCGAATAATCTGAAACAAAAAACATAGCTGATATAGCTGGAATTTGGTTCTGAATATTCTGGTTCTGCAGTTCCTTCCACAGATTTCCACGGCGCCAGGATTTTTGGTTCCTTCAACGATTTCGCCAAGCTGGCGGATGGTGTGGCAGGCGGGGTCTTTTTGGAACTCGACTACCACAATGAGGGCCGCAATATGGAGGACTTTGTCCGCGAGCACATGTGGTTGGGCTTCGTGACGGCTCCAGCTTGGGTGCACGACGCTTGCTGTGGATGGGGTTGAAAACGATGTGTTTCGCTTTGAAAATGGGAGCTAGACACTGATATTTCAGTAAAGAAACATACATTTGTTGATTTTACGAGGAAAAAAACATGTGGAAGATATGAAGCGGTTGAACAGTGCTGAAGAATGGTTGAGAAGTGTCTGCCTCGGTTTTCTTGTACGGCAAACGGATGTCCAACTTGTTATAGCCCTGTTTGCGATTTCCATTCTTGCAGGTCAACCCGCTGTCACTTTGGTTGGTTGTGCGCACACACATACTACTTGTAGTATCAATTATATACAATTACATCTTGTATATAAGTTGATACGATATTATATGAGACTTCTATGGGTATCCCGGTATCCCCATTTTCTGTGATTTGTCACCATGTGTTTCGCTTCCCCGGGTGCACTTCTTGTGCCTCCCATATTGTCGGATGGTCATCAAATCCATTGGCATTGGTAGTGGTTCATATATTTATTTGGATTCCCATTATTGCATCATAGATTAATTACCATACCCCATTAATTCCATGTAACTTGAGCATGGCACATTTGCCTAAGCATAGTAACTTAGGAATATGGTAATAATATTCAACAATGATAGAATTCTTGATCATAAGAAATGTTATTGACAATTCATAATGGCTATGACAAAATAGATTAATATAATTATATATATATAATAGAATTACATATCGATGTTAATGCCCTATCCCCACCAACATCCCCAGTAGTCAATCCTCATTTTAAGGACTGCACAGTAAATAACAATAAGAATAAACAACAACAACAACAACAACAACGACAACGACAACAACAACAACAACAACGAAGAAATATATATAGTACAATATCAATCTTATATCTATTATCAACATGCAACCACAAAATACACAAAAAAATGCGGCATATTACATAACACTGACATAGTTAGATAATGATTAATATCTTTAAATAATATTAGATAATACACTATATACATATCCTATCTACAAGTATATTCATTTATATCTACTTAAATACAAATATATATATATATTATTGAATCTCATGAAAATTTCATGTCAGAAATGTCCCATCCCCCCATTTTTCCCCGTGCTTTCCGTGCTTTCCTTTAAGGCCTACACGGGTCCCAAGGGCAATTGCCGCGTCCTGGCCACGGCCTGGGCCGATGGCCTGGATTTCAGCGAGCTGCCGCAGCACCTGCGGCACCGGGCCGTGCGCCTGGCCGCGGAGGCGTGTCTGGTGCAGCTGCTGATTACGGGCTTCGTCCATGCGGATCCGCATGAAGGATGTGAAAAATGGGATGGGATGGGATGTTTGTCAATGTTTGTCATGATGTTTTTCATCATGATGATGATGATGATGAAAATAGGGTATATTCCCAATGAAATAGCCATTTAGTAGGGATAATGATCAGCAAAACCATTGGGTTTAGGGGTACACTATTTTCAGACACACCCAAATGGGATGGGATGGGATGATGATGATCTTTGTCATGATGTTTTTCATGATGATGATGTTTTCATGTTCATGATGATGTTTTTCATGTTCATGATGATGTTTTTCATGTTCATGATGATGTTTTTCATGTTCATGATGATGTTTTTGATGATGATGATGATGATGATGATGATGATGACGAAGGATATGGAGAGGTTTCCTTAGTCATAGGGCTACCCCCAGTCATCATCCATGCAGCTGTTGGGGATCCCCAGCTGTTGGGGGTTTCCCCCCATGGGATGATGGAATGCCAATGATCCCCTGTAGCCGTTTTAAATCCAATTGATTCCCTTCATGATTAGCCTTAATGGTAGGATCTGCGCGATTTTGTTTGGTGATACAGTGATACTCTTATAATCTTGTGAAAATAAATATATATATATACTGCACATACATATACATTACATAATGCATATCCATTTGTAGGGCCCCATGGTGTTGGCCATGTGATGAATTTTTAAAAAACTCCATATCGGCAGCTGCGGGAAACCATTTCGAAGATTCAGTAAATGAACGGTCAACGGGTTCAAACCCTATATAGAAATGGTTGTTTACAGCGACTCAATCAACATCAACCTGCATGAATCCATGAATTGAAACATAGATCCTGCCTTTCTTCACTTTTTCCCATTCAGATCATCAATTTTCATTGGTGAAATCATCTTAGGTTCAGAAGATTATCCTTTTTATGTGTCCCATATCATCCATATCCCTTTCCAGGAAACCTGAAGTACATGCACGATGGCCGCATTTGCTTCTTAGACTTTGGCCTCATGGACCGCGTCTCGCCACGCGTCATGGAAGGCTTCGCGGACGGCATCCGCAGCGTGGTGTCGCAGAACTGGACGGCGCTGGCGCAGTCCATGCAGCAGGTGGAGTTCGTGCCGGATCCTGTGAAACGAAGCTTGGAACTAATCGAAACTCCACGAAAATACACCGTTTACCATTCAATATATGTATGTATATATGATATATGTATATACAATTATAGTATGCTATTACAAATGTTCTAGGTTGGTTATGTAACTTATGTATATTATATTTTATAGATGGCTTCTGAGCTAGATTCCTTGATTTTGATCAGGAATTTTCCACCTAGCCACGTTTGATTGGAGGGTAATGCAACTTTGTGTTTTTAAAGGTGTTTTTCATATGTTGTTGACCAACTTGGTGGATAATTTCCATGTATTTGCTATAACAACACCTCATGATACCTCAGTATGGGAATACGATGGATAGATCCAAGTAATGTGGCAAACCCAACAATAACCAAACTGTAGTTGTTTTAAGATGTTTTAAGTATGTGTTTCTGTTCCATGTTCCCAGAAGCGTCAGATGTGCCCGGATGATCCCAGAAAAGCCATCATGTCAACGAGCTGGGACCCATTTTGGATATGGTGGCATTGGCTACACGCCATTTTACTGTTCATCATTTTCTGAAAGAAAAATGTGATGAAGTCTGAATATCATCTGAAAACATTCAAAAACCACAACTTGAAGTAAAGCAGTAAACCAGTAAACCAACAATATGAGAACTGGTTGAATTGGACGGTTGCAGGAAACCTCCATAGTTGAGGGTAACTTGCCCATACTTTCGACTGTAGTTCCTTCCAATCATTAAGATCCGTTCAATCCATCAAGCATTGCTTAAATCCGCCATTGTTACAATTTTCCACTGGCGTATAGTCGTTCAATCCCGAATTTGGAGTATCTCTATTATACCATATACCCATTTTATGTCTCTATCCTTCCTAACTAAGCCCATCTATTTTTCAGGGTAAATCCCCCGTATGGTTGATTTTTCCCCAAACAGTGTGGCCACACTGAGGGGTTCTTACTGTAAGTGTTAAGGCCCGGTGTTCAGTCGAGGGAACGCAGACACACATTTTGTGCGAGCCTGCGCAGTCGAAACGCATGTCAAGATTTCACAAGAGCCACTTTATACGGAAATTTACAGGAAGAATGCCGCGGCCCAGATTGAGCCCGCAACGCAGACACACATTTTGCGCGAGCTTGCGCAGGCAAAACGCATGTCAAGATTTCACAGAACACGCATTTTGTGCAAGCCTGCACAGTCAAAATGCACGTCCACATTTGCCAAGAGACATCAGAAGAGCCACTTTACATTGAAATTTACAGGAAAAATGCCGCGACCCAGATTGGGCCCAAGAACCTAGCCTAGGCGCACATTTTGTGCGAGCCCGCGCAGTCGAAACGCATGTCAAGATTTCAGAAGAGCCACTCTATACGGCAATTTACAGGAAAAATGCCGCAGCCCAGAGTGAGCACCCTGATCAAGCACCGGCCTTTACACTTACGTACCGTAAGAACCCCTCAGTGTGGACACTGCTCGGGGAAAAACAATGAAAAACACACATTAGATCATTATAGTTAGACTCCGGAGATTCTTTACCAGACAGATTGCTCCAGGAAACTTGAGACCCAACAGCACGCGTCCCCTGTGGGTGGACAGCACCTTTGATGAGTTCGTGGAGGCCCTCGGTCAGGAAGTGGGTGGTGACGCGGACGCGCAGACACGCTTTGGCGACATGGCTGCGGCTCTGAAGCGGCTCAGCAACCGAGCCTTGGTGAAAGGTTACATTAACCCGGGCCGTTGAGGTCCGGTCAGAGGTCTTTAAAAGGTGTGGTATTTGCCGTTCAACAACGGTTTGAGATGTTGAATATATATATCTATATAATTCTATATATATATATATTATTGGTTTTTGGTTGTTTTGAGGAAAGCATTGACATAGTTAGTGATGGGGACGGTCTTGTTCACCAGAAAATTGGCTGTTGTTTGCATGTTATGCATGGGTGATTTTTAGGTTGGCATGTTGAATATCCAAAGGAAAAAGTCGGAAAGGGGTGAAAAAATCGGTGGTATCAAAAAACACATTTGTTTACTGAAGTATTTCATAGGATATCATGATTATGTGTATTCGGGGATACCGTCCTACTTATGATCCCCACTTACACATCCAGCATCACTATCCAGTTTTTCCCCTTTGTATCTGTGCTGAGCATCCAACGGAAGCCAAACATCGGTGTAGTGATTGAAATGAGTGCCTGCCATCTTCCATCAACACTGTATCTTTTGGTTTATTTCCTCCATTTTCGGACACCTGCAATTTTCAAAACCCTTTAATGTATATGTTTGCCATCTTGTGATTTTTCAAGATACTCTTCTAAACCATTCAAACAATCTCTCTTACCTTTACCATCTCAGATCATCTCAGGCTATTTGATGCTCACTCCGGACTACGTGGTGCTCATGACCCGTACCTTTGTGACCTTGGAGGGCATCGCGGCCTCCTACGACCCCTCCTTCAACATCTACACCACGGCGTTGCCCATCACCCTGCGGCGCCTCGTGTCGCCCAGCACCAAGGAGGCCCGCGCCAACCTGCGGAACAACGTCTTGACGGAGAAGGGCGAGCTGAAGCTGGAAGGAATTTTTATCCATCAAAAACGGGTGATTTCAAATTGATTTCAATTGTTTTACCATTTAAAATGTGGATATTGATGGAGATATATGGAGATATCATGGGAATATGGCCAGTAAGGATCTAAAGTGGGTGGTTTCAAATATCACAACATATGGCGG